AATTAATGTATATCAACTAAAAGCCTCAACTGGTTAATATTATACAATATTGTAACGGAAAGAGAACGATGAAAATCCCTCCGCAGCTTTTTTGTTGGACAGTACTGTCATTTATCTGTTTCTTCTCCCTGTCGTGTATTTTAACCTTTGTTCAGATCTCGTTTAACAACATCTTTTGTCCTTCAGTCTTCCTCGTTTGAGCCTTTATTATGTGGTTTTGATTAAAGACTTATCTTTTGTTACCTAATTTTCTATTGCATATTGACGGACTATTGACAGTAAGGTCGTGTTTGACTAACCTTAAAGTCACGGCCTGGTTCAGTGTGTGACTGTTACCCTTCTGACTGTCTGCTTGGATTGCTGGAATTCCTGCAGATAGATATTTGATCCCATGTTGTTGGGAATATTTTTTACTGATTCTCAGGTATCGAAACCTTTGATGTTAACTGTTCCTTTTATTGCTTAGCGCGCTACTTTGCGTCAGAGAAACCTCTGATTGTATAGCACAGGCTGTACCGTTTGAGGTTTTTCGTATTTTTGATATAATTTATTCTATTTTCTAAATTAGAACCGTTTAGATTGAGCACAACGTTTGTGTTTTAATATAATTTAATACGAGTATCCCAAAAACGCCTGGTACGTTGTACAGAAGAACGTAGTCTGGCCTATCCGAATAAATTTTGGTTCGTAAGTCCTGCGTCCAAACTGAATACTGGCAGTTCGGTCGTTACACTATTATATAAAGTGTATTGCATTCATCCCTGAATATGTTCTGTTTTATGAAGTTTCAGGTGTAATGACTTAATGAAAATTGAAGGTGTTCTAAGAAGATTCACTAAGTCTGTCTTGGAGTATCACAACGACAAGAATTACTATCAACTATGTCAACAACTCATGTCAGAGCCTCTCTGGGTCAGGCGCACTAAATTAAACCTTATCTTTATCTACTGGCTTACAAATTGTATTTCTTACTCTTCGTACTCTATTGTATCATCTAACAATCTGCGTAATAAAGAGAACATTCTATTGATTACGGGAACCTACACAAACCTATACAAGAATTTCCCTATTATTCTCAACTCATCCATGTCGAACATACTCTTAGCAAATCTCCGCTACGGTAAAACTGTAACGCAGTTCAAAAGTTTCTAGATGACTTTCTGTCAAAATGCGGTTGGTTTAACCCATTAAATGTCGGTGTGTTTACCAATAATAAATATTAAAAAGGTATGATATCTATCTAACTGACCAAAAAACAAAACAAAGCCTTCGAAATTTTGTTCGTATGCTTATTGGCTATGTTTTGTTTCCTTTCTTATCATGTAGACGGCCGAAGTCCGCCTATGTTCATTTTATTATTATTAGTGTTATTGGGATCATGGTTGATCCTTTCCTTCTTTTCCCTCTCGGTTTTCCTTTGGCATAAGTCATTCCCAAACATCCAAAATCTAAAACTAAAAACAAATTGTCCTGTGTTGCGCTTAATTTTATCTTCACCACGTATATATGACCAATACTGGCTGATTTTTGGCGATTATTCTTTGCAAAATTTAAAATAACACTGTACAACCTTTTATTCTACCGTCAAATCTTACTGCATCAGTGATTTATTTTTTCATTTATTTGTTTTTTCCTTTTGACAATACATGTGTTACCATTTACTCTTATTCTATTTTCCCAAACACGCTTAATAAACTGGTTGAATATTTCACGTTTCTTTTCTTCATTTTTTACCGATTTTTCCTTTTCTTTCCTTAAAACCAACTCAGTATTTTTCTAAATTCTACTAAACCTTGTTAAGTATGGTAAATATTATGAAAACATTATTGAAACCTGCATATAAAATCATTTCAGAGGAAATACAAAATATTTCTCTCACAACATTTACATACCAATAAGCTGTTTGTGAATAGTAACGATATGACTACGGAGACATATCCGATTGAAATGCAAAGAAGGGAAAGAACAACTAAACTCAGAATCTAGTGCGGTTTGGACATTTATGGTTCTTGTGATATCTAAGTAGGGCACAGATGTGTCCACGCATGCTGAGAGATTAGTACAAACAAGGGCTCCATCAAGAAATCTCATAAACGTACATAATCCATCTGACATGAATGCTTAGGAGGGAAGATTGTTCTATATTAATGCATACCTTATGAGGAAGAAGTTTTCCCAAGATTTTGACCCATATTTTCGAACTTTGATAGTGGACACTTTGTATCGAAGGTCGTACATATGTGGGATTTTGGTAAGAAATCTATCACATGTGGAGTAAGTAAGTTATTTAAGGAGCATGAAGCAGGGAATCAAATGAGATCTAAACCTCTTTTTCTGGACGGTTTTAAGTCCTAGGATATGGAATCGGGAACGGTGATCAGTGAGCAAGTCAGTTTCAAGCACTTTGTGAGTGAAATCACATTGTGTTCCTTTCACCTGCAGAAATCGGATAGGCATAAGGTGGAAAATAAGAACGAACAGTATTCAATGATAAGTCTTACACACATCTCGTAAAGAATGACTCCGGACTCATTTTAAAGAAGTTACGAAGATTGAAGCCCAGCAATCTCCGCATTTTATATGCTCTAGTTGAGTTATATTCAGAAAAGTTAATACTGTGTGGGTAATGCACCACAAGGTCAGTTACTAGCGTGCGTTTGAGCATTGTGTTCTCGTTAAGTCCTAGTTTTATTTTAACACACGTGTCCCCTATACATATCCAGCCGCATTTCTCTGTGTTGAGTTCTACGCTCCAGCACTTACACCAGTTGAGTTCATTCTGGATTGTTTGCATAGTACTGCTTACATTACAAACGTCGGTTTTATAGATGAATTTTAAGTCATCGATGTAAAGGTTGGTTATATTGTATTGAAGTACCTGCACATGTTGTTGATGGGGATTGTAAAGAGCAATAGATTAAGATATAACTCTGCTCAACACCACTGGTCATCGTTCGAAGTATAGTTGTTGTGGAGTTAGTTTCAGTTATTTGGAATCCATTTGTGAGAAAAAACAACCCATTCCTGTAAGGGGCTTGTAATCCCAACTGATTTAAGTCTGTTGATTAGCATTTTACATATGACCGTTTGGTCACGATACATCACATCATCCTATAGTATGGGATTAATGTTTTGATCTGTACTCTTTTTAAGCGCTTTTTAAGTAAATTATATACATGTTGGGATTTAGATGCGGTAGTGAGTTCAGTACGTTCTGATTTTAGTTTATGTTTTGTGTGCTCAGTTCACATATGCCCAAATAATGAGCATATTTGGTGCAGGGCACCGAATTCTTTTGACATAAAATACATTCTTTTTATTTCTTTGAAGCTATGTTCTAGATTTTTAGTTTTCAAAAGCTTATCACTGGTAAAAACAGCTCCAGTCAGAGTGCTTCACTAGAAATTGAAAGCTTCCCCCATCAGTATATGTATAGTCTAGATGTTGAGAACGCGTAGTTATTGTTTTCGATTTGTTAAAATTTGCAAGAAACGGTAGAATGCAGAGGACTATTTTATGATCACTGGAGTGAAACTTTTCGCCAACCACCACAGATGTTTGTGTGATATTGTGTCAGAATATCGAGTCGCCAGTGTTGTGCCGTGGTGATGGTAGAATTACATGTTGCTACTAAACGTGTATGTTTAAGGAACTAAATTTTTTACACTGAACGATGGATCGGAGCGTGTCTTGCAGTTGATGCTGAGAAGGTTGAAATCGCCACAAATAATTTTCCAGGCAAACTCAAGGGGGGGGGCAGACTTATCAAATGACTCACTTATAGCAGTGTCAGTTGAACTAGGAGTGTTTGTAGCTCAATATGCACATACATCTAGCCTGTTGCATTCATGAACCGGATAATTTTCAAACCTATCATATGATCGAGTTCATTTTTGGCCAGTATCAGCATTTCGACAGCTAGCTGGTGCGCTTTCGAGAATACAGACTGTCTCGTAATCGTTATGTGTTTTGTAACATGGCTGGCTACACGGTAGTTTCGGTTGTACTTTGTAAAGTTCAGAACGCCTTTTGAGTGTTGGTTGGAAGTGTTGACCAACAGTACTGCCTGCTAATTAATGTTCAATTGGGTCGATGACCAGGTTTTTATTTGTATCAGGTCATTTGTGCTGAGATTTATAGTCTAGTTTTGTGCCACTTGAAGTTTTTTGCCGACATAACAACCCTTGGTTCTAGGGGGTTTTCATGATCTCAAGAATTCAGTCGGCATATGCAGCCAATTCATCTGCGGAGTTATTTTTGAACGAGAAAAAAATTCCGAGGAAACAAAGGTAACATCGAGGCATGTAACATCTAAAACTTTACTACAAGGGACGAACTCACGGTTTATCGTTCGGTGTGCCAGATAACAATAGGCTGACCATCGAAGGAGTCACGGATATTCATGACTTGGAAACACTGTTAACTGTAACGAATTTTCACTCAAATATTCCGGAGCCAGTTAAATACAAAAGTACGAGAGAAGAAATGTGAAAATATATTTAGGAAATTATTAGTCCACACAGGCTTTTTCAACCCAAACCGACTAGTTCTCGCAAGGGTTGCGCGGCATGGCATACCCCTTGGTGATCTGGTATGTATACTTTAACGAGCTCCCTCAGGTAGGAGTGCTGCGTCCTGTAAAATTAATGAGGCCGGGACTGATGATGAAACCTCATATAACTATTTGTCCTGTGGGTTTGTTTACTGGTAAACATGAAGAAAACATTAATTTACATATTAGTGAGAGATACGACTACCTTCATTGATTAGATAATAAAAAAACTTTTACTTTATTTAATGCTATAGATCACAAAAAATAATACAGATGATATTATAATGGATATAGAAAGAGATTCTATTACTGTTTTAGAGCTTTGTTGTTTAGACTGTCATTAAGCGCTCAAGGTCCTCAAGGTCTTTTGTGTTGCCAATGAGTGACAGTGCTAAATGATATTCATGCAGTTTATTCGTCAATATATTACGTTGTTTCATCTTCAAATATGAAAGTGAAGAGATCTAAGGCATCGGACTTAGCTGAATCACTCAAGCACCTTAAAATGTAAGTCAGATTGGACATTTTCCAGCTACACCGTTTTCTGTGCATTACGACTAGGATTAGTTTCAGTGTCACGAATGACAGTTAAGCTCTTAGTTTCATTTAAGGTATTTTCATTTTTAGACCAGTAGATCCGAACAGTCTGTACCTTGGGCAACTTAGTAGATAATCAAGTGTGATATATTTCACAGGTCTTAGAGTCAGATAAAAGTATTATAGTTTGTCGAACTAATTAGTTCTTCCAAAATGTTTGGGGCTTTTTTGTCAGAATTTCAACTCGTTTTGCCCTGCGGTGGCCCCGTGTCTAGAGTAGGAGTTAGATACTGCTCAAATGATCTCGTCCCCCTTTTAAATATATTTTTGGGCAGAAATTTAATAGCGATTAAGCGTCAATTTGGCTTTTTTGTTGTCCCACCCTGTTTATTCGGGAAATTGCCACATGCCAGTGCATCAGTAGGCGAATCAGCACTTATTGGCGACATTTTTTTCAACGTATGAGGATAAAAGTGCTGCCGTAAGATTTAAACTAAGAGCGTTCCGTCTACATTTGTCACCACCTATAACATGATTTCCTCGATAGATACTCAACTGTGGCTGTAAATCATGGTTATTAAGAGTAGAAGAGATCCTCAGAATACTAATAAATAATTATAGATGTCTTTGAATCACTAATCAGTTTCTGCGTTACTTATGACTGACTGTCAAATGACGTGTTCAAATGAAGAAATATGACGTAACCCATTTAAGAAGTTTGGTTTTAGGTACTCGGATATGTTTCATTTACTAGACGCTTAACTGTTGGGTAGGAAAATCAAGCATTCCTCTTGAAGTACTCGAGCCCAAATAATGTAAGTTTTCCATTGTAGTAGACCTAAATGAAACTCCGGGTCTAAACTTGGTTGAGCTGTATTAGCGAATATGGTGTACATGATCTGATAAAATAGCTATCTTAGTAACTTCACAAATGGTTCTATTTGACGAATCTCGGCATCTGCAGTAGGTCTTAATCAGCTACTAGCACTTAAATTTCTCAGGCATGCAGGGAAGTTACTATGTCAAATGGTTTTATTCTCTGTTGTTAAACTGAGTTCGGGCGTACTGATCAACAGTGGATGCCAAATCTCAACTATTTGGCTGTCTGGTTAGACTGCGTTGGCCAACGCAACTCATCTGAAGGTTGATTCCACGTAGATGTATAAAACGTCCGAATTTCTCTCATAGTTGCTTTAAAAAACTATTGATTTAAATATGAACCTTTTTTGAAATATCTTTATGGAGTCTCAGAAAATCTTTCAACAACTGACTCATACCCTCTATTTCACCTAGGGAGGTTTCCAAATGTAGGGTACCGGTTTACTTGTAATCGAGAGCCTGTGTATCATTTTGATGATAATTTTCTGGATTTTTGCATCCCTGAGTTACATTCAAGCGCTAAATAATTGTCTTTTATACATTTTTACTGTTGAATTCTCCTAACTGGTTTAAAAAATGTCTTACTCGTTGAGTCACTGATTTGAATCAGTTTGGTAGATAAACGTCTGAGTTTCATATCACTCCTAATGCTTTATTCTGTTTTTAATTGCTTATTTTTCGTATCTGCTATCTTCTGTTTCTCATGTTTATTGCTTAGAATTAATCAACCTACCCAATATGCACATTTTGTTAGAGTTGATCAAAATGATTTTTCTCTCATCGATCAGTTCATATAAAAATTGCATTTCATCTGTCGATCCGGATTGCATTGAGTTATCTTAACAACCCAAACCATACGCACGACTCGCTGTAAAAAGCCTCATTCATGACATGTATAAGACTGAAAACTAATCAAGTTTTATGAGAGATCTTTAAATTGTACAAGCCAAATACTTTTCAGGAGTACAGAGAATACTTTTCAACTTAACTTACTCTAAGCGAGTTTTAAGTGTTTAAATTGTTGTGGAAATCAACGTGTTAAAGATTTTAACATCTTTTGTTACTATTGTGTTGATTGGTATGCATATTTATGAGTGATTGACATTACTGAAATGTTATCACGGAAATTCGTTAAGTATTTTGGAAATTTAAAATCAGCCAGTCCCAGTAAATCTTTGAAATAATGAGTATGTTATTTCCGAAAATCTTGAGTGTTAATTATTTTGCTAATTCATACCCATTTTTTCATGCACTTTATGTTTAGTAGCGATCGCCGTTTTCGTCCCCAACTGAAGGGGTCTACACTCCACACACTTGCTTCTCTTAATGAAGTATCTTCGGGCTGTAGATATAATTTTCGAAAGACACGGTCTGCTTCGTCAGCAACGGTTGTAAGTTACGGTTTTCGGTGTTGCAAAGCATGTGAATATTGTCGAGCTATCAGAAAAGCTGGTACTGAAGGTGAAGTGATAGATAACAATTCAAATCAGGCGAGTACTTTGTATCCATGTTTGTCAGTAGAACATTCAAATACATCTGCAGACTGTTCTGAAGACACAGGATCTTTCTTAGAACCGCCTACTTCATCTACCAGAAGACCATCTGGCTATCTCTGTACAACACTCCCGCCCAAACCCTGCCATTCTAACTATAGAACCGTAGCATATGACCTGCGCCCTTTGCATGTTTCCTCCTTCTTCGAACCCACCCATTTACGTCGATCTTATGGCAATGAGTTGAGTGAACTTGAACAAGACCATAGTTCGATCACTCAAAGTCCTTACAACACAACCAGCACAGATCACGGTGATCACCCTTTATGCTGCTGTCATGTCATTGGGTTTCATTTACCTCATCACTTACGTCTATATCGTCGACTGTACAGTCTTGTTGACCACCCTTGTGTAAGTCTATATTACCCTTGCAAACATCATGCATATAGACACACTACAGTACCCAGTGGCTGTTCCACGGGAGCAGCTACTTCCTTCCGTCGTTCTTTATCATCAAGGCATCGCCATACCATTACTCCAGTTTCAGTCCATCGATTTAGCATCGATTCACGGACCGCATCATGTTCTAAATCTTTAGATACTGAGTGCGATTCGGGACTGACAGATATATCTCCTGGATCCAACTATTGTAGTATTCATCAGCATACGGCAGTGCAATCGTGTTTACAACAAAGTGCAGCTAAATACAAAAGTCAGCTCACTGAAAATCGTCTTGTTGGAACCCAGCGTTGTCGTAGAAATTCGGATCCAGAAAGTTGGCAGCAGTTTCGTAATTTACAATTCTTTGGACCTTCTCTATCTAGTGATATGAACGAGAATTTTGATTTGAATGTCTCTTACGACGGTGAATTTAACCGGACAGAAGAACTACCAAATAACTCACAGACTGATCAAACAGATGTATCCATTCGGTTTAGTACATTTAGGAACCGAGAGGTGAAAACTTTAGGGTAAGTTTAAATATTTCAGATATTATTTATAATTGTTTTTCTGTGTTTAAATATTTTTCAAGCATTTTGTGAATGGTATTTCACTAGGATAGTAACATCTTGTGAATTAATGAGAAGTTTCATAAGTCTGGAGTTAATAATATAGAATGTTTCAGCCAATTTTCCTCAAAAAATCAACCTTTATGGGACAGACAACTTTAGTTATACTTGTAATCGCTCGTTTCGTTTATCGTATTTGAGTATAGTATACATCATGGGTTGACTTTAGCTGGATATATTCTTAAATGCTATGGAACACTAAGTATATGTTTCGCTTAACATGGGACTTCACGATTCCCCCGAGAATTGAACTCAGGATCCTTAAGTTTCGTTTTAAGCACGTTGCTTTTAGATCATTCAGTCAGGAGTCAGTGCTTCATATTTCCAACCTTATTTGATTGGTGATATTGTACAACCAGTATTACGACTTTTCCTAGTGTTCCATAGTTTTCATTATCCATTTAGCCAAAATCAGTCCGTAATGTAAACAATCTTCATATTGAAAAAATGTTCACGTACTTCATGTTAATAGTATCCCCGTTTTCTTGTTGATAAAGCTTCCAATTATTAGAGTGTTTGGAAACCGAGGTGTATTATACATTCATACACTTTGAACATCACAAAAGTCCCTTTTCATCTTTATTTCTCTTGATCCTCATTATACTTATTGACAATAGAGGATATTTGCAACTCAGGTGGATGATTTTGTTATTATGTTCTCAAACTAGATGGCTTAGTTGAAATTTCATTGTACTTCTCAAAAACACGAGGACTCTACCTCAGTTTTCATTTCTTTCCAAGATCATCAGAACTAGCTAACTTAACACTTGGAGTAACTAAAAAGCTCACTTCTACACAAAATAAGCGTTGACAGTATCCAGTACGGTAATGAAAACTATCTAGTTTCGAGAACAAAGCAACCTTTCATTGATATCATTACTTCTTAAGTTGAAGAACCTGAAAAGTTCCAGCTGTATTTCTAGGACCAAGCTATCAACTGTTTGTTAGTCTTCATCATCCAGATGTATTGAATCAGATGAGAATCCTCTAACTGGAACCCAAAAATTGTGAAACACAATGACACCTGCTTTTAGTACGCGCTCATACTACAATGTAGTTTAGATGAGATCAGAGGTGATTTTTGTCAAATTCGTCAGTCATTTCAAAAGACTCACCATACAGATGGGGACATTAGTTAACGAGTTAAAGACAAAGTCAAAGATCGTAATTAAAACAATTATTGTTGTGACGGTCAATGTCCGAAATCTGGTACTCATACACGATGTGCTACGCGTTAAATCCCCCTGCTGACTACTTGATCGAGAAAGTATATTGGGTTACCGAATAAAATGCACAAATATGTACATATGTATACACATAATTCTACCCCTTAGGAAGTTAACCCATTTCTTAATCAGTGAAATACACTTGTTCTTCAGGTCACTTCTGTTTTCCATCGACTGACCCTCTCATTAGATTACTTTCGATTGGCCTATCATATCGATTATCTTAAAGGTAACCCTTTGGATCCTGTTTTGATAAAGTGATAATAGTGATCTACGATTTTGGTCCAGAGACCGATACGTTTCCCGATAACAGTTACTACAAACATGAAGAGGAGGTGGCTAAAGACATCATTCCATTAATGAACAAGTTACAATCCCTTTAGTCATCTTTTTAAGAAAACTGGATAGATAATTGAACATACAGTGGTTTGTTTTCATATATATCTGCGGTTAGATAATTACAACCAGCAGAAATCTGAGAAGGCTCTCCTTGTTCAGTAAGAGGACTAGATCTTGAGGTACAGGATTGTCTGGATAACTAATAAAGCATGAAAGTGACTGCTGTTTTGATATAGCTTGGTAAAGTATAGTCTTTTATCTGGAACTTAGTGAATAAAATAAATAAAAATCCTTCTGCTAAAAGTTGCTGATAGTCAGTGCATTTCTGAAACCACGTGGATGTATAGACCAGACATAAATATGTTTTTCGACGTCTAGCTATAGTTGTATTCCTTGGTCTTAGGGCAACGTTCGAATCTGTTGGTCGTGATGTTTTGTGGCAGCGTCAGTCATCAAATGGCATACCAAAGAAGTACATCAAGTTTGTAAAGCTTCTCTACTCGAACACTGCCAGTCGAGTCCGAGCTTATGGCGAACTGTTATCGAAATCGGTTACTTCAAGTGGTGTTTGTAAAGGTGGTTTGTTTTCCCCATTTTTATTTGATTTCGTCGTAGACATACTTTAAGAGATAACACTTTCATCGTCTCGCTTTCCAGGGGTTGATCTTGGAATATTCAGATGACATAGTTCTATTTAATGAAGACGCTGACAAAATGAAGAGTCGTCTGACTACCTTAAGCAACAATGCAATAGTGTTTAGGATGAAGTTCTCTCTCCAAATGTGGAATGTTACTTCATGATTGACTTGCGTCATCACCTGCATTAATGATAGGGAGTGCTCCATTACCTTGCAAGTTTCATCATTCCTGATGGTCTGATGTCTGACGAAATCCCGACACGGATTCAGAAGGCTCGATTGGCCTTAGCTAACTTCCGTCACTTGCGGTGTAGGTGCGACATCCGCCTTCTAACTAAAAGACTAGTTAACTATATAGCAGTTCGGTATGTTCGACTTTATGAATGTGGAACATGACCATCAAAAACAAAGGATATTCGTAGATTACTAGTATTCGGTCATAAGTGTCTTCGAAGTATTGCTCATGCATTTTGGGACCATTGAGTAACCAAAACCTGGGTTAGGAATAGGATATTAGGATGAGAATGGGGAATCGATTGATGAGGTAGTGAATCTTCATCAACCGAGGTGGTTGGGATGTGTTGCGTATACACAGCCACCTCGACGGGCGATGTTGTGTGGTGCAGGAGTAGACTGGAAGAAATTTAAAGGCGACCGAACCAAAGCATGGCGTCGGTCCATGAAGTCGTTGACACTCGGATTGAGCCATCTTGACAGGTGTAGACTACCTGGTTGGTGTCCGTGTGGTTATCATAACCAGTGATTAAGCACTTTGAATGGCATGGCTCAAAGTCACAGGTGCATCCATTCTTTATCTTTCCCTAACTTTTGAGAGTCTAAATACTTCACACTTAATTTTTATTTTCTTATTTTACTATTTTATAATTTATCGAGTCGTATCTTCGATGCCTAATCTTTCCTATTACCACTAATAATGTGACTACCTCTATTATTCTGGTATTTAGCCTGATGCTTTCATGTCTTTGTGCTAATGGACCGATGTGCATACGTACCAGGTTTTAGGTTACAACTGACTAACTGACTGTAACCATCCGAACTCTTTTATGTCCGACCATTCCATGTTGGCTGTTTGGCGAGGAACAAAACTATAAGTTTCAATTGCTAAAACATCCCAACTGTACGGGAGTGTGATAGTGCCAAGGCGTTTTCCTCACACGACCATCTCTAACAATTCTGCCTTCCTACATCGGAAGAACTGGGCTAAGAAAAGTTTTCTGCTCCGAGTATATCCGGCATCGACTGTAAGGCCCGGAAAGATGGAGTTGATGCGGCAAGTGGCCGTGTGTGATCGACACCAAGTAGTTGTCTTTTGGTTGTTCTGTATACCCTCCAAAGGTCTACTAATGACTCACTTTCACCTACAGGTATCTCATAAAGCGATATCCTTTCATGCTCTGGACAACTGGAAAGTGAAAACCCCCCAGATACCTCTTACTGCTAATATATAGTAGATGATTTTGTTGAGTTTTGACTTAAGCTGAATAAATAGTATAAATTATTGATTCTTTAAGTGCTTATTTTATTTATTCAGATCTAACTTACAGTTTCATGGAGCTGATCATCAATATGACGCCAAACTTTGTAATTCAGTTGTGGATAGTAATGGCGATAGGAATAATATTGATTATGAGTATGCTTTGCCTGATAGTAATACCCAATTTGCACGGCCGATTGTTGCAAAAACCACAACTAGTTTCCCTGCATTTAATATTTCGAATTCTGTTTTCATTCCATTGGCTAATGAAAATTCTAATTTTTGTCAAATGAAATTTTCACAAAGTACTGACACTTTGCCACAGTCTAAAAATTCAATTGTTTCATATGAGTCTACTTTGAATTCAAGTTCACAACAACAACAACAATTTCACTTTCGACCCTCACTTTTATTATCAGCTGAACGTTCTGAACCGCCTATATCATCAATCATGTATACATCAGATACTTGCTTCTCATTGCGTTCTAACAAATCGAATACTGTGAATTCTTCAGATATATCACTATGCAGGTCACAGACAGAAATGGACAATCAATCTGGATTAGCTTGTCAACCGTTAGTTTGGACTGACTTAAGTGGTGACGGTGGTGCGAATACTTTACTGAAACAACCTTTTATGGAATCCGATGTGAAAGTGAAGGAAAGTACTGTCCAGTGTTCCAATGAAGCAAATTATTTAAACATTGCTGATATGAGTCATCATGTCAATAGTAATAATAAGCCTCAATTAGTTTCAGATGTATCAGTAAATGAATTAGCTTCGTACATGGAACATATGGTTCATATTCCGGGCCGAATGTCTGAAATGGCTCAAAGAATGTATCTTTAGCTGTAGTATTGGTTAATTTACCTCAAGATTAACGTCAGTTTTCATGTACTAAGATGCCTTGGAAGACAACTTTTCTTCAGCTTTCGTACATAAATATTTTTAAGTGGAATGTATTGGTTCTCTAAACAGAGTTTGTTGTTTACAATTTCCTCATAATTGTATTGTGATATGTTATATTTGTTTATTATTTCTGTCTATCTAATTATTGTCATTTCAGCGAAAAATACATTTCGATTTCATTTTCTTTTAAAAACTGTGATGATAATCTCCGAGTGAGGTGGTATACATATAGCCACCATAAATGTTCTGTAATATCTCACATGAATAATTGTATAAAGATTAACTGTAATCCAATGATCATTATAAACGTTATCTGTGTTCATAAAATTCCATTGGTTCTCAGATTTCCTCACTATGTTTCCAACTGTAAGTGTTTCTTCTGTCAATCTGCCCTTCCTCTCTTCATAACACATTTCTTTTTTGAGAATACATGTTTTTTTCTCAGTAGTGACGTCTAATCTGTATTATTTATTTCGAGGTTAACAATACACAAAATAGCTTATCATCATTTTGAATAAATGGTATAATATTTTCGCATCACGCTTTACTGTTTACTTTTATCATTATTGACTTTCAAGATGAGTCGTTATTCTTTCGTCGTCTCTCTCTTTCTGTATTCTAATCACTTTCGTCTCTGTTGTTCTGATTAAAGTGGTGATAATTGGTGTAAGCGCATTTAATTGTTTAGTTTGCGTAATTTTCTCTTAGTCCTACTAATTTTCCGCATCCGATTTATGTCACATGCTCAGCTTTTTATCCGTTTTATTACTAGATACGTGTAGAAATTTATCTATCTATTTTTCTTGATAAATGTAAGCGGTTTACAATAAATAAACAAACATAAAGGCACATGGAATCACTATTTACTTGCTATAAGTAGTAAGCACTATGAAAATGACTATGACGAGTTACTAAGGTAATTCTTCTCCTTGTTAATGGTCCCTGTTATTTTAACCTTGTTTGGAAATTTATTTTATCTTTTCTTATACATTGTAACATTAGGTGAGATCAGTTTAAATGAAAAAAGATAAAGATTGATAATAACAAATAATAGTTAACTACTTCCGCCTCATCATATTTTCGCAACGTTAAGCATTTCTTAGTATGTTTATTTGTCTTTACAACTTCTTTGTTTCTTTTCCTTATGTTGATGTCTGTTTCATGGACAGGTTTCCGCTACTTATATATAGTTATTTTTTTCTAATATCTATACTAAATTGAGTAATCATATTTAAGAGTAATAAGAATGGAATAAAATATATATTTATATGTATACATAATCGTCTACTAAGTTCTATGTATGAATTAGTTGGGACAGTTTTAAAACAAAATAAGCGAATTAGATAATATAGAACTTTCAATATGAGTGGTTTTCACTGTAAGCATATTTCAGCGAGTAGATCATGTGGTCGTATGTACAATCCATCTTGTTCTTAAGAAAATTTTCAATATAGGTGTATGATTAGTTCTGTTGGATAGTTGGTCTGAATTTCTTTACCGCGTATAGTGTATAAGCTAAGATACTTCAATAGGATGATTACATAGGTAATTGTTTTATTGTTCTTTTGTCCACCACTGGGCAGTTTTAAATTTTAGTTATCACCCAACTGTTCAACGCCATCTTTTATTAGTGTACCTATTCTATGATACATATCTATTGGTTTCTGATGTAAGGGTACTGAATAACAATTCTGTTATTCTCTTAGTATATATTGTTCTATTTTAATGCTTTCTATGATAGACGGTTGGCCTTGGTTGCGCAATTTCGTGGATTGGTTGATGTTAGACACTAACACCACTGGATGTTGGCTCAGTGGTCTAGTAGGTTAGGCGTTCGCGCGCGCGACAGGAGGCCCTGGGTTCGGATCCCGTGAGCAGGATCGTGGATGAGCACTTCTGAGGAGTCCCACAACAGGACGAAACGGCCGTCCAGTGCTTCCAGGTTTCCGATGGTGGTCTAACATCAATCGGTTCATGATCTCAATCAAAAATTTAATAATCTCCACAACCCCTATACTGGTAATAAGAAATGAACTGTATGGACCTATAGTATCATGAAAAAGTGAAGGTTATAAGTACTTGAAGTGATTTAATATGTTTAGAAGCAATAGGAATTCGTGGCAGCAAAAGGCTATGAAGGTCAACTCGAAGTAAACAGAAACGGAAATAAAATGGATTTGTGACTTGAAGGAATCGTGCAGGATGTGAAGGACACATGACGGAAATTTACAAATGAAGTATTCGATGTATGGTCCTAATATTTTATGAAGGGATTCTATAATTTTAAATATAGTTGGTTGTCTCATCTCGTTTATCACAGACATATGACATTGGTTACTGCTCAGTATTTGATCAGTGTTATATTTATGTCAGAACTCCGCCTGGGGTCCTTCCAGGGGCTACTGCCGGTCTCAAGCCCGGATAAAGGAGGGGGGGTGGGCATGGGGTTAGGGGCGCCATCCCTTAGAAAACTAGCTCGCTAAAAAACGCTAACTAGAAAGAATTATTTGGACCATTTAAACTTTGCCCTGATAGTCAGAAGGTCTTCATTTAGAAGAACTATGACGCCTCATGATGAAAGCCGAGTTCGTTCGGAAGGTACGAGGCCGACGCCCCTTCTGACAACCAGAGCAACCACTTATTTAGGTACATGGAATACTCGTACGATGTGGGAGACCGGGAGAGCTCCAAATTCCTACAGAAATGAGGAGATACAACCTGGAGGTGCTTGGGATCAGTGAAACACATTGGACGCAAGTTGGACAACAACGACTAACTTCAGGAGAGCTTCTGTTATACTCCGGCCATGAAGAAGAAGATGCCCCATATACACAAGGAGTTGCATTGATGCTGTCCAAACAAGCGCAAAATGCACTCATAGGATGGGAATCTCATGGACCAAGGATCATCAAAGCCTCGTTTAAAACAAAGAAAGAGGGCATTTCAATGAACATCATCCAATGTTATGCGTCTACCAACGACTACAATGAAGAAGCTAAAGATCAATTCTACAATAGGCTGCAGTCAATCGTCGAGAAGTGCCCAACAAAGGACCTGACCATTCTGATGGGAGATGTAAATGCCAAGGTATGAACGGACAACACTGGATATGAAGACATCATGGGAGGACACGGACTGGGAGAAAGGAACGAAAATGGTGAGAGATTTGCAAACCTATGTGCCTTCAATAAACTGGTCATAGGCGGCACTATATTCCCACATTAACGCATTCATAAAATCACATGGACTTCACCAGATCACACTACGCAAAGCCAAATCGATAATATCTGCATCAACAAAACGTTCAGGAGGACGTGAGAACCAAGAGAGGAGCTGATATAGCATCAGACCATCATTTGCTGGTCGCCAAGATGAAATTGAAACCCAAGAAGCAATGGACAACAGGGCGGACAACACCACAAAAGTTAAATACGGCTTTTCTTCAGGATACTGACAAACTCAACAAATTCAAGAAAGTCCTCAGCAATAGATTCCAGGCAGTTCATGATCTACTCAATGGAGAGCAGCTGGAAAGGGATAAAAGAGGCGATCACTTCAACATGTTATGAGGTTCTGGATCGCAAGAAGCACCATCACAAGAAATGGATCACTGTTGATACACTGGACAAGATTCAAGAAAGGAGGAACAAGAAAGCAGCAATCAATACCAGCCAAACAAGAGCGGAAAAAGCCAAGGCACAAGCTGAATACACAGAAGTAAACAAGCAGGTGAAGAGGAGCATCAGAACGGACAAACGTAAATACGTGGAAGATTTAGCAATGACGGCGGAAAAGGCTGCAAGAGAACGAAACATGAGACAATTGTATGACACAACAAAGAAACTCTCTGGAAATCACCTTAAACCAGAACGACCAATGAAAAGCAAGGAAGGCAAGGTAATCACCAACATTGAAAAACAACAAAAGAGGTGGGTAGAACACTTCAAAGAACTCTTGAATCGACCAAACCCACTGAACCCACCCAATATCGAAGAAGCACCCACGGACCTCCCAATCGATGTTGGCCCACCAACAATTGAAGAGATAAGCATGGCCATCAGACAAATCAAGAGTGGCAAAGCAGCAGGACCAGACAACATTCTAGCAGAGGCACTAAAAGCAGACGTATCGGCAAGTGCAAGGATACTCCACATTCTCTTCAATAAGATTCGGGATGAGGAACAAGTACCAACAGACTGAAAAGATGGACTTCTGGTCAAAATACCAAAGAAGGGCGATCTCAGCAACTATGACAATTACAGGGGCATCACTCTTCTCTCAATACCAGAAAAAGTCTTCAACAGGGTATTGTTAAACAAGTCGAAGGACTCCCTAGACGCTCAACTTTCGAGACCAACAGGCAGAATTCCGTAAGGATAGATCGTGTACAGACCAAATCGCAACTCTACGGATAATTGTGGAACAATCAATTGAATGGAATTTACCACTCTACATCAACTTCATTGACTAGGAGAAAGCATTTGATAGCATGGAGAGAACAATACTATGGAAGCTTCTTCGACACTACGGCGTGCCTCAGAAGATAGTCAATATCATACAGAATTCCTATGATGGATTAAACTGCACAATCATACATGTAGGACAGTTGACAAACTCGTTCGAAGTAAAGACCGGTGTCAGGCAAGGTTGCTTACTCTCACCCTTTCTCTTTCTCCTGGTGATCGACTGGATCATGAAAACGTCAACATCTGAAGAGAAGCACGGGATACAATGGACATCTAGGATGCAGCTGGACGATCTAGACTTCACAGATACAAAGGGAAAATTTAAGATTCTACAATTCAACACAGCATGCACCAATCCAATCACAATTGACGGAGAAGATTTGGAACATGTAAAAACCTTTACATATTCGGGCAGCATCACTGATGAACACGGTGGATCTGATGCAGATGTGAAGGCGCGGATCGGA